CGGATTTAAAAACCAAGCCGGGAAAAGCTTTTTTAAAAAGGAAATGTATTGAGTCATTTTTTTAAAGGCATCCACTGTCTGTGGTTGGAGCCCCGAGGTGGTCAGGAAGGACATTGCACAGCAACCTCAAGGCCCTGCTACTCGTGGTCTTGAGTCGAGTTCTGGACGGGCGCAAAAGGTGCCGTTGGACTGACCGGCTTCTGTGTCTGTTGAGGAGTTCGGTGAGGTTGGTGGGGGCTACGCCGTGCAGACATCGAGGAGTGTGAAGCACTATTTTGGATTTGATGGAGAGGTGTGCGGGGAAACCAGTGCAGAGTGCGGAAAATGGGGGTGATATGCTCTTATTTAGGCTCTGGAATCAGGACCCGGGTGGCGCTTTTTTTTTGGGCATATTGGAGCCTCACTAGCCTCTTGCCAGGAGTCCGGATGAGAAATTTGTTACAGTAGGCCAATCTGGAGGGCTCTCTACAGCAGGATGGGAGAGAAATGGCCGTAGTTTGGCAAAATTGCCGACTTGAAAGAAGGAAGTTTTGCAGATATCGTGGAAGCTAAGATGGGGGTCAAAACTGACTCCCAGATTAGTCGTAGAAGGCGAGCCTATCACAGCCAATTTTCAGCAACAGGCGAAGTACACCCTGAACTGGTCGCATGTCAGCCACACTGCACATGTAAACAAAATATTTTTCACACTCACATTCACATCTTGTGGGCAACTTAGAATCTTCTACGAACCGAGCATGCATGTTTTTGAAACTTGGGAGGAAGCTCGAGAAAAAACACTCAAGCAGGGGAGAAGATGGCAACCCCGCACAGGAAGGCCGGAGTCGAGATTCCAACCAAGAACGGAACCGTTAGCAAGATGTGCTAACCACTCGTTCACCTGAAGCCCCATTTTACGAATTGATTATTACCGTTCTCCATCGTCGATCGAGGAGATTTCTCTCGTCGTAAAATGGCACGAGTTCTCCAAACTTCTTACACGATACCCTTCGACTTCACGAGTGTAGGATTCCTTCCCTCACCCCGCGCTTGTCGCCTTTCACACTTCCTTCCTCAATCTCACACTTGCATCTTCTCTCATCTTCCTCCTTTCTTTTTCTTTCTGCCATGCCTCATCCCTGGCTTCCGTCTTTCCTCGGGGATGACAGCGGATTGTGCTTGTTTTTCCCAGATAAGTAGCTTCCACTCCTCCTGCAAATGGCAAATGTCCCCTCAGCACTCTCTCGGCTTTTTAGCTCAAGCTTGTTAGTTTTGCCCCCCCCGTATCTGTTTGATTCATCTCAACCATCCCCTCCTGCGTTTGACACGCTGGAGCGCAAATTTACATCCAAGTTGTCATTTGAAGTGTTTTATGCATTCGGTAGGTGTTAGGAATTGTCACTTCGCACTGTATTGAAAAGATGTGTAACTTAACAGCCAAAGCTGTATGAAAAAAACAGTACTCAAGGCCTTTCAACAACTTAAATGCGATTGTGTCTACAGTCGAGCTTTTTCTGGTTTCGTTAAACTCGCTATTGTGTGATTTGGAGCATGTACACCAAACGGAACGTCGCCATTTGTAATGGGTATAATAATCAGTCAAATTCTGTTTTTAGAGAAATTTGAGAGATTATGGGATATCTGGATAAAGTTTACGGTAACCTAGAGTAGTGCTTGAACAGTAAAGATACACTATTGGCCCCATTCCACTCAAGTTTTTTATTTTTTTTATTATTCATGTGTGTGTGTGTGTGTGTGTATATATATATACATTTTTTTCATATGGTACAGTGTTCAGGACATTATATAGGTAGAAGTGCAGGAATTGCAACCCGTTTTACCGGGACGTTTACTTGATGTATGTTCTATTTTGATGCCCGGAACTGACGATGCTCCATGTATTTAAACATGTGACCATGTTTTGTTATTTTTTCTGCCTAAAAAAATCAATAAAAAGTTTAATAGCAAAAAAAATAATAATCTTTTTTAGGGGGGGGGGGGCTGTTTTTTTTTTTTTTTTTTTTTTGTAATTGGTGGTTGATTAATCACCTTCAAACACTTGCAAGATGGAGTCCACCTCTTGGCTGTCATCACAAGAAAGCACTTTTGTTTCAGCCTTAACGAGTTGAAGTCTGTGCAAGAGCTGGATGATGTCAACTACTGGAAGTTGATCCATACTGTCATCAAGAATAGCAAAAATAAAGAAATGAATAAAGTCACAGATGGTATCATTCCATTGAGGAGTATATTTAAAATCGTAATACGTTATCAGCGATTCTCCCCATAATTCAGTGAAATGCCCACCCCGAGAACTCTTACTGGAATAAGGGCCTTAATCGCTCACTCCTTCCAGTAGTTTTACATGACAGAATAAAAAAAAAGAAATCAAAGTAATTTTTCTTTTTGACGTTTATACAAGATTATATTGTCATCTACATAGATTAAAACGTTCCGGAGGTTTGACATAATTTCAACTAAAATTATTTCCTGGCATTTGAGCCAGTAAGCTCACACACAAGTTCTCTCTGTCGTCATGCTTTCAAACGCAAACGGAGCAGACTATACGCTAGTCAGCTAGTAAATGATGATGGTTATATGCTTTTCTCATTAAGCCACTCGAGCAGCCACTCCTCGGGAGTTTGATTGCTCTGTAATAGCGGCAAGCTAATGAGCAGTACAAGTGTCGTGATTGGCAAGGGACCAAGAGTTGCCATTTACAATAATGTTGCTCTCCAAGGGCTCCAAATTATTCTGCTCACACCCTTTCCCTCCCTCCCCTGTTTATGGACGTCAACAGTGAGGGCAAATGCAACTTTGGCTGATGAGGTGATTAAAGAGAGCTGCTTGCTGTTTGTATGGGTCTATAGACTGACCTGTTTTTTTTTTTTTTTTTTTTTTTATGCGTACACTGGCGCAGACACACCCCCCCCATATTTTGTGTGTGTTTTATATATCTCTCTCTCTCTCTCTCTCTCTCTCTCTCTCTCTCTCTCTCTCTCTCTCTCTCTCTCTCTCTCTCTCTCTCTCTCTCTCTCTCTCTCTCTCTCTCTCTCTCTCTCTCTCTCTATATATATATATATACACACACACACACACACAGATATATTTTTAGGGGCACAACCTGAAGGTCTACCAGCATTAAGGAACAGATTGTTTTTCCCATCTTTTGGGTTTTCATTGTATTTTTTAAGTCATTATATCTCGCCCAAATGAAATGCCCTGTTATTTACAAAGAGATTGGATGATGTTGTTTTTTTTATTTAATTTTTTTATTTTTTTACACCAGAACGGCTGCCAGCTCATTGTGCAGTTGTTGCTCCACTAGTCTTTGTAATTTCTTCTCCACGTTCCTGTGCTTTTGTGTTTTCCTGGGGGGAGTTTTCCACTCACATAAAAAAAAAAAGAAAAAACCTAATCTGAGTCTTATCTATATTTCAAAACTTCTGTTTACTTTTTTTTCTTGCTATTGTCCATGCCACCTTCATAATAAGATAACTGGCAGCTGCTGAATATCGGGGGGGGATATGTCACTCAAGTTTTATGGTGGTTATTGCCTTCTTCCTTATGGTTGTTACTGTGAAACTCAGCTTGTATCTCCTACTGCAGTTCCATTATGCTGACATGGGAGGAATTAATAGGATAAGGAATCATTTCTGTGGCTGCCAGAGAACGAGTTGGAAATTTGGTTTATGTTTGGCCTTGGAATTGTCACTGTGCTGTGACTCTCGCTGTGCATAATGGAAATGTTATGATGCATTCCAACCAAGTACCAAGGTTTGATTCATCTACAATACAGTTTTTGTTTTTTTTCTTCCTTTCATTTTTCCTTTTTTTCCTTTTCACCTCTTACGCCTCAGGTGTCAAAGTCAAGGCCCGGGGGCCAGGTCCGGCCCCCCACGTCATTTTATGTGGCCCGCGGGAGCAAATCATGTGTGTCAACTTTCATGATTCTTACTGAAATCTGTACTGAAATATCAAATTGTCATGGGTCATAAATAACGTTGAGATTTTGCACCGGTCCTCCGAGGGAAGCCATAACTCCGAAGTGGCCCGCGACAAAAAAATGAGTTTGACACCCCTGTCTTACGTCATTGAAGCCAGCTCGACTGTTCCGGTCTCTGATCCACTAAGAAGCCAGTGTGAAGGTGGCCATTGATTCTAGACAAAGTTGTCACTTACTTGTGATGGCGGAAATTCGGGGTTTTATCCTTTGTTTATGATGTGTCCCTGGACTCTCCTTTTTCTTGGAAAACAACCATTGTGTACCTTATATGTAGTTGGTTCACACTTTCTTTCTGTCAATGCTTACTTGTCTCATTTTGAGTGGATTGGTTGGCTGGGCACACTTTTGGCTTGTACCTTTTATTTTTTATTTTTTTTTGCCTTTGGAAAACCATCATTAATGAGCAGAGGAAAAAGCCTTAACACATTGGTTAAATGAAGCCGATGCCGTGTCATTTCACAGCTCACCACTGCGAAATATGGTCCATGTGATGTGTGAACTGATCCAAGCAGTACCTTACAATGTGTTTTAAAGCTTTTTAAAGCTTTTTTTTTTCAAGAGGCGTGCATTTTTAGACACACTCGAAAGCCGTTCCCTGTTTCTATTCTTGTCGGTTGAAATAAAAAGACATTAGGCTTTGAATATGACAGCATTTTTCTATTGTAGCCTCACCCATTAGATAAACAAATGTTTGACTTATTTCTCAAAATTGTGTGTAAGCAGCTGATAAACACAAACGCCCCCCAGCACCACGTTGTCAATTTCAGGAGCAACCAAGTTAAGTACTGCTGTTCAGAAGCTAATGAGGTTATCTGACGCTAATCTGCACGTGAAACAAAACTCAATGCAGCTTTGCTTACCCAGCCACCCCTGGCTGATCTAACAGAATTTCATTGTCACTGTTGGAGGCAGCATTTCAGCAACATTCCGCCAAATTAGATTGGGGTTAAGTACAAAGGCTGCACTTCCCTCACTGACAGATTAAAAAGAAAAAAAAAACTTGTGTCTTGTTTTGCAGTTGGCTCTGGAGGACCCTGTCCACAGTGTCTCGCTCCAGCAGTTTGTCTACGAGAAGCTGAAGGCTCAGCAGACCCTTCTGGGGGACCCGAGCTTCAGCGGCCTCATGGAGACTGTGGACACAGAGCTCGTAAGGCAGCTCCAGGAGTTCCTGCAGGGCTTCTGAACCACAAACACAGTCCTTCACAACAAACGGTTGCCATTTAATCCTCATCGCCTTCTTTCCTTTGAAGAAAAAAAAAAAAAGACTCAATCCAACATGTGGCTCGCAAATCCAGATCTTCCCAAACGCTGCCCATGTTATTGCCTTATCTATACTCCGAACTAGCTTTGTCCGTTCCCCCGCTAATGCATCACCTCCCCCCCGTTAACAAACTAGATAGCTTCATATTCCTTTTAAAGAAATAGATCGAGGGCTTGTCTGTCTTTCCCATAATTTTGTAAAACATCACCTCACTTGAGCTTCCGTTCATCTTCTCACCTTGCCGTTATCTTCCATTAGTGTGGTTTTGAAGTGGAATGGGTGGAAGTGTACTAACCAAAAATTGTTTGCGTATGTGGAACTCTTCAAAGGAAAATTCGAGAAGAGTGCAGCCGAAATGGGGATGAAAGGAAATCAGAAGGACCCGTAACAGTGTTTACAAAATGTGTTCTGAAAAAAAGAAGAAAAAAAAACTGAAAAAGAAATTTAATTTTTGTATGTATGTATGTAAAATATGGACAATAATCCGTAAGATATTCTTTTAGTTTGTTTTTACTTTTGCATTGTCCCCCCCACCCCCGCTCCATGTTTTAAAATGGTCATAACCAGAGGTCAAGTCGAAGTAACTACTGAGTTGTTTTTTTTTTTAGGTTTTATTGAGTCTATAAAATGGATGTTTTGTTTTGTTTTGCTTTTTTCACGCCATTGATTTGAATGCCGAACTGCATTATGTAAATATGTACTGCTGCTATTTGTGGGTGTGTCGGAGCACTTTAAGAACCAAAAACTAACTTCTCATCACTTCCACGTGTTCCTCAACACAGTGACTATCAGCAGGATGCCTTCACTTCATTTTTTTGTCAGAATAATGTGCACGTACCTTATTTGAATTTTTATTTGACCACTTATAGTGACAATTTAGTGGTGGAACCACCAGGCTATTTCAGTGTTACAGTAAGTCTTAAAATGGTTTTTGAGCTCCGAAACTGAAAGTGAGTGTCTGAAAATTTCAGCTTTGTAATGTAATGTTCAGCTTTGTAATTAAATTAGATAACGAGAGTCTATATTATTGCAAAATAGTTTTAGCTTTACATAGGAAAGAAGCCTACAGTCCGAGTAGAAGTCAGCCTTATGTTTAAAACACTTGCCTCTTCTTTTCTTTTTTTTTTTCAAAGTGTGTTTCTTGATTCCGTTAACACTAGATGATCTCTCTGCTTGTATTCTGTTAATATGACGACTCTGCAACACACAGTGGATGTTTGCTTTTGGATTTTGTTTGTGTTTTGATGGGGTGGGGGCAAAAAAAAAACCACATACAATAAAGTAAATTGTCTATTTCGGCCCTTAAGCTTTAAATAAAACAATTTTCAGCCCAAAAGTTAAAAGCTCAATGACTATAAGAAGAAAACACTTGTGCAGGATATTAGTTTGCTGTCATTTCATCATCCAAAGAGTCATGTTGCTTTTTTTTCCCTGCTGCTTTGTTGCTGTGAAGGAAGCGTGTCCATCAGATAACACGTTATCATATGATATACGCTCACCTGCTGCCTCGACGGAAACCAATACAGGAGCCGAATCACAAAATCTGCCTTCTGTTGACGGACAGTCATCGAGGTAGAAATTGAACAGTTTGTCTATTATTGCGGTTGTAGTGAACCGCACTGCTTCCAACTGATAGCTGTTTCTTCAGCCTTTCTCTGAGATCCTCCAAAATTGACTCTTCAGTAAACACGAGAGCTGCTTGTGGCTTTAATACAGAATCCAGCAAAGGTGCGATATTGTAGAAACGGGACACTTTCCTCTGTCTGGTGTGATGTATGGGACAAGTGGATGACAAGTTCTCAATTTTGTATTTTGTCCTCGCATTGCTGAGTACCCTTACTCGCAAGCTTTGTCCCGCCTCCGTTGACGGCTCTGCTAATACCTCCGAAAGTGGAAGGTTCCTCTCTCAACTTTGATGAACCATTCAGTGGCAGTGGGAAAAGACCAAAATAAAATTGCTTGTGTTCAACATTTGGTTATATAAATGGTAGATTTAAAAAAATATTGCTCTACTATTGTGGCCAGTGGGAGTTTGATAATTTTTTTTCCTAGCCACGTGATTCTTTCGAGCAGTGCTTTTCCAACAGGTGTGTCTTTAGTGTTGGAGGTCCACGAAATAATTTGCAATCGATTATGGAGACCGGTGCACCAATAAAACATTATCAACCTCTCTATCTCCGTTTATGACATCCCTGCAGGAGTTATTTTTTAAAACATCAACAAGTGTTTTTTTCCCGATAATAAACAGGACTCCTACTTTTTTTTTAGGAAGATCTTTACTGGAATAAAATGTGTAATATTCCGAGAATAAAGTTGCATTTTTAACTCCACTTGTAAAAATATGGATTTCTTAACACATTAAAGTTTGACTTGAATGTCATAATATAACTTTATCTTGGGGAAAAGTGACTTTATTCAAACAAGATTGTGACTTTTTATCCTAAAAAGTACAACTATGTTCATATTATATATATATAGAGAGAGAGAGAGAGAGAGAGAGAGAGAGAGAGAGAGAGAGAGAGAGAGAGAGAGAGAGAGAGAGAGAGAAGTGGAACCAAGATTGATCCCTGAGGAACATCTCTCAGTTGAATTAGTGAAGCAGACGTGCAGAAAATGTATTTTCTCCTTTGTGGATAAATAACTAAACCACAAGTTACACGCTTCTTAAGAATTCTGTCATCTCATTTCAAAGGCCTCAGACAGAGGCAGCACCTCGACCTCAAGCAACATACGTGTGTGTACATGTATGTATATAGTACACACATAGTATGTAGCTTTTTTTTCCCCTCAAAGTAGACAACTTTTTAATTGATTTGTGTCAGGCTTATTTTAGGGTCCCTGGAACCTAAAAGTTTGGGAACCTCCTTTAGATTCTTAATGATGTTTCTATTGCAACAACAGCGCAGCCCATTAAGCCCAAGTTTGAAACGTATCATCCCTTTCAGCAATAGTAACTGTTTGTTTCTCCTCGCACAGACGCGGGCAGTCGCTTGTTGCCCAGCCTCCACCGATTTGTCTTCCGAGAGCCGATGTACTCCCGGACGCTGGCCTCTTAAGTGATTTATGGAGTGTGAAGAGACTTTTAAGGAATTCAGCTCACACCTTTGCGGCTAGCGCTTCTAATTCCACAGAGTCGCTCATTTTTCTTGCGCTGGAGTTGGACCGCAGCCACGGTAGTCCTTGGGAAAGCCGCAGGTATGTGGGCCTTTGTGAATAATCCAGTGTGCTCCACCGCAGAGAAGAATGCTGCTCTGATATGGTGCAAATAGCTGAGCCATCACGATCTTTGCTTTTTACCATTGATGGATTTATTTTACAGTGGACATGTTACTTGATGAACATGATCCACGACACAGTGGGGGAATAAAAAGCAAGCAGTTTAAGAATCGTTTCACAACCATGAATGATCTAGTTTTATGGGTAGCCTATTTGATAGTTTGGATAATCCACCATCTGATTGCGGCATGGAAATCACTGATAGTGGAGTGGTTATGTGTCGATTCAATTCCCTCTGTGTGTAAATGTTTTTGTTTTGTTTTTTGTCTAACTGTTCCCTGCAATTGGCTGGTCAATATTAGAGTATACCCCACCCCTCTCAGTCAGGTTAGGCTCTGAACTCATCCATCCATTCATTTTCTAATCTGTTTATCCTCATAAGGGTCGCGGGCATGCGGAAGCCTATCTCAGCTGTCTTTGGGGAGTAGGCGGGATACACCTTGAACCGGTTGCCAGCCAATCACAGGGCACACATAGACGAACAACCACCCGCGATCACACTCACACCTCGGGACAATTTGGAGTATTCCATTAACCTGCCATTCATGTTTATGAAATGTGGGAGGAAATCGGAGTACCCAGAGAAAACCCACACAGGCAGGGGAAAAACATACAAACTCCACAAAGGCAGGCCAGAGCCGGAATCGAACCCTGGACCTCTGCACTGTGAGGCCGATGTACTAACCAGTCGCCCTCTGAACTCACACGTGAACCAAATTAGAGGTAAGAGTGTTTTTTTTTTTGTTTTTTTTTTAAGGTCTTTCTATGTCACAATTCTAGCATTGAGGGTGGGTCTGGAACATATCCCCTGTGAAAAACAGGGTTTTGTCTACTAATTTGCCTTCATTTTGGCAACAGCCTATTTCCCAAGCTGAAAGTAATTCAGTGACAGGAACACATAAAGAGTCTTATTCCATACTCCCAATACATTCTGTCACTTGACAGATTAATCAGCGGGTGATGTAGCATTGATCCTGGCTTCCCACCCACTCACCTCGCTTTCGAGTCATTGCAGTTGACAACACTCATCAGGTCAATTCATGATCGAGGTTCTTTGCGATGTTCCGACAGAAAATGCTTCAACCAGTCTTGTTCGTCCTTCAGTATTTGAAATCATTCACGCTAGACTAACAAACGTCTGTGCTTGGTACAATTGGATGGTGCATACCGAACCAGGCGCTGGTGTGTTATAGTTACGCGTGAGTGCTATTGACTGGAAAAGAGCTTTTAAAAGTGACCTTTGAAACAATTGCCTCTTGCTGTGAATGATTTTTTTTTCTTTTTTCCTCCAGCCGGACCATGTCAACGACAGCGGCCAAATGGGTGAGTACCACTTAGTCTCTTTTTGCTTTGATTTCGGTTTTGGTTCCAAGTGGTGGCCTGTAATTAAAACAAGCCGTATGTCACTTTCACACTAAGCTGGAAACTCTTCTAGACAATATGAAAGACTTTTTTTTTTCCCCCTCCAAGGAGTGAAAATCCATTACAGTTACACAAGGTAACCTCATTGAAATGAACGGCATAAAACAATGGAGGTAAAACTTGATGCACGACTGAATGCCAAATATTTCATCAGCCTCCTACGACTGCTGTGAGGACGAGAAAAATAAAATGTCAACGTCTCGAAGAGAGGGAAAGGAACAAAAGGATCGAGACGTCATGTCTACTTTTCTTCAACTTATTTTGTTGTAGCTGCTGGCAAAAACAAACAAATGAAACAGAAGGGTACGTTTATCCCACATGCTGTGCTGAGTGTTACTGCGTGGCTTTTCCTCAAATAGTGGCCGTGCCTCTAATCGATTGTTTACCAACCTTTATGGATCCTTGGCACATCTTTTACAAATGATTTTTTTTGTCTCAATTTGCTCCCATATGCACTTACTCAGTGTGAAATCTGGAGCTTGTTTAAAAAAACGATTTTGCGACTGGCAACAGATGCAGGCACAGATTCATTGTGACTTCTGCCATCCTGTCCAAGATTGTTTCATTGGTCTTCCTGTCACTAGACGACACTGGCATAGATAGATAGATGCCATTTCGTTCTCAAAACAGTAAAAAAAAAAAAAAACTATCTTATAAAATTACATGTAAATTCTATTGATCTATTTTTACTTTTTATTTGCACAAATACCACTTTATGGGTTTTTCCTGTTTGTTTTTCCTTTCCACACCAAACGAAATGAGCAAATGTTAAAACCGTTTCAGTGCAGCGGCACTTTGAAGAAAGCATCTTGAGATATTGAGTGACTGGTGCGACTTGCTGTAAAGAAGTAACCATCTGATGACAATGTACGTGATCGCAACCATTCACGGCAAGATAGCAGGCCGCCTCTTTGCTTTCACCCAAACATCCCAATGTCACAGCAGAAATATACTCGCATGAGCAGCAAGTGTTTTTCCAATCATCTTTTCCTCTGCGAATTATGACCTCAATTTCTGGTGCTCGGAAGTAGTCCACTGGTCCTGTTGCTTTTTTCGTTCAGGTTAAAGATTCAAGGTCGATACAAGCTCGTGTGTGTGTGTGTGTGTGTGTGTGTGTGTGTGTGTGTGTGTGTGTGTGTGTGGTGGTGGGGGGTGTCCCTGGAGGCTGTGAAACCAGGCCAGTCTGTCTGGCACCAACAAATAAAACTTCTGTTCAAAGTCACCTAAATCACAATCAACTCACTTGGAGCTATCGGGAGGTTATTACTAAGAAAATAGTCCCTATTTTCTGCAGTATATTGTCTCTCAAACAGATGCAGCGGGGTGGTGGTGGGGTGTCAATGTTATCACCGCACCCCCCTGACATTATAATATTAACGGGCAGAATTCCGTAAATCTGGCCTAATCCTCCCCGAAATGGAAAAAGAATCGTTGATAAGCGGCAAATGCACAAAAGGCGACAGATAAGACTCATATCTTTAAAAAAAAAAATTTAAAGGCCACAACATCCTCTTCTTATCGGGGGCATTCTAAATCTAAAACATCCTCTTATCAGCTGTTGAGCATTTAAAGGCACTCAGGCCAATGCGAATAAAAGAAGAATGTGGGCCCAACTGGCACAGGCTAATCAATGAGAAGCAAAGAGAAACACTGAGTCGGCTTTTTTTCAGGCCGCACTCTGTTTAAACCCAATCAAAGTTATTAGAGCAGATTAATACTCAACTCGGGTTCATATTGCGATGTCCTCAAAATAAAGTTACCCAGCGACTCGAGTGTTGCAATGAGGCCCAAATGGATGCTTCTTTCTTTCTCCTCGCAAGGGTTTAGTTGGGGTTCTCAAGCTGAGGTCTGGGGATCCCTACGGGTCTGAGGGGATGCTTGGGGGTCAGCAAACGTCATCAATTAATGACTGCCTGAGCTTCGAGTCAATTAATGGCTCTGACATAAGAGAAGACCAAGGTTTGCTTTTCCTATCCTCACACTGATATTTTTTTCCATTTTCTGTCGAGCTGCATTTTTTTCCACCGGATGTTGTTCTCACCCTGCAAATGTTTTGTAAAGACACAAGAGCATGAAATCCTAAGTGATAACTTTTATCAGAAAAAGATCTTCCCTGGGGGGAAGGGGGTAGTTACCGGTGAATTTCCCTTGAGCCTCGTCTTATCTTCTGACCTTCGACAGACGCGAGAGTCACCATTGGATAAACACGAGAACTTTTTGGACTGTACCATTCGTCGTAGTATGGATAACGGGTGCACTTTGTTCGCTGACAATTGGCTGAATGGCATCTATTCAATGACCATGTTAAGACTTTTTTTTGGCTTCCGGTGGGCTTGATAATTACACCACCCGCCTCTTGCGGTGTTTGGGTGAGCGGCTAGCGGCGTCATACAAGCACAAACTCACCATTGCACATGTTGTTTATGGTCTGGATTGTGCTGAATGATTGTTTCACTCCCCTGGAGGCTGATTGATGTCAGACTTGAGGGAATTTTCCCCACCACCAGCTTTTGAGACAAACATGGCAGATGGCAGCGTGTCGCCCCATTGAAGGGATCACTTGATTAGCCTTGAGAAAAATGGGCTGACGTATTTTTTTTCAAACCGTATAGAGCTCTGACCCAAAATGAGATACACCAAACTGATTGT